TCAAAATATGTGAAAATAAGGGACTTAAACATTTATAAATAGTTAATAAACATAAGTGAGAACATATTGAAAGAGTTGAAATATTGAAATTATAACTATAATATACACACGACTTGGACCGTTGCCAACGAAGTTTAGAACCCATCTATATAGATTATAGAAATAAAACTTGCTTAATTAAAATACGATAACTTCACTATTCTATGTGGAATTAGCTTCAAAATTTATAGTTGCAAAACCATCATTGTGACAATTGCTCTCACGACTAAAGACCTGTTTGATATAGATTTAGTGAAATTTATATTTTTGGAAAATATGTGGTTAAGAAGTAGAGAAAAATTACGGATCCAAATGCAAACTTAATCTATTGGTAGAATATGTAATTGAAAATAAGTTTGAGAAAAATGAGTTTTAAAGAATCTGAACCAAATATGGCTAGAGTAACAATAACTTCTCCAATTAAATCCAATTACCTTATTTTACTCACACAAAATGTTTGATCATATTAAATGTAGACAATTTGATCTTAGTCATGCTGATTAAATAAATAAAATTAAAAGCCACGACTATGAGTAATGCAAGCACACAAAAATGAGTGAGTAATCGAATGAGTGACTGAGTCTCGACTAATAAAATGTCAAGAAACTAGTAATCGAATAATATTTCTATTAAAATGGATTTCAGAATTAACATTTTACACTTCAATTGTTTTCAATAACATAAGAGGTTAAAGAGTTAAATGTATATAGTGCAAAAAATGCTTCCCTTCTACAAATGAGATGCCCTTAGATACTGAGTTTTGAAAGTAAAGAAAATGCAAAGAATAAAGCAAAAATGAGTTTGCATGCTGGAAAGACATTTATTCCTTATTTATTATTCTTTGCTTTACAACTTCAATATTCCTTCACTTCTCGAATTTAAACATTAGGTAAATGTGTTTGGAAAATCAAATATAATTCAGATGGTTCCGTTGAACATTACAAAGCCTGATTGTTGGCTAAAGGTTATACACTTTTGAAGGACTGGATTAAGATTAAATATTTGCTCCGGTCACTGAACTTGTTAAAGTTCGATGTTTTCTTGCCATAGCCACTGCTAGAAATTGGTCCCTCCATCAACTAGACGTTCAAAATGACTTTTTCCATGGCGACCTTCACGAGAGAAGTGTACATGCTTTCGAGATCATATGTAAAGGTATAACGCTTTGATCTTTAGTAATGAATAACAATAGCTCAAAAATCATTTTGTGTACAAAAAGTTATTTTCATATCACTTGCATAAAATATTTTTGATCAAAAGTAAAATTGATCTTTCAAAGTGTACTCGAACTTAGATCATATATTTAAAAAATAAATAAATAAATTTGACCGACGGTCAATCGGTGGACCAGGCGGTCGATCAGACGTCTCCAACGGTCAGATTTTTTACTGTTATGATGGTACAAACTGTTATATTGGTCATCCGAAAATTGACGGTCGACCGGACCGGTCATCCGGTTTGACAGAAAGTTTGACGTTTTTCACTTTTATAAATACCAACTCAATTGATATTCCTTTGAGCTTACATTTTTACATTCATTTCATTTATTTTTTCATAGCAAAACTTTGATTATTTGATCAAACTTCTTGTATCATTTCTCTTATCAAAGTTTTTCATCTCTCTTTGTACTTAATTTATCTATATAAATTTTGAAAGATATATATATTTTTGAAGAAGATTTTTTACACTTACATTGCGTGAACTTTTATTCTTCCTCTTCATATTGAAATTTTGATTGATTGAACTAAACTTGTAAAGTCATCATATTCATCAAAATTTTTCATCTAACACTTGATCTATCATTTATTACTATTCATTGAAGTGTCAACCTCTCTTAGTACTTAATTTGATTTGTTTGTATTATTTATCAAGAG